GGGGGGGGGGGGGGTTTGCAACTTTTTTGTTTGTTTGTTTAAATAAATGCACCACTGAGGATGGGGAAGTGGTTTTTTTGTCCACAGCACCTATGAAACTCAGGGAATCAGACAGGCAGCAACCAGCACGGATACCCTATGCTAGGCTTCCTTCAGTGCTGCAAGCCTCCTCAGCTCACACCAAATGCCCCTGCTTGGAGGTCATGATGATGAAGCCTTTTTCCTCCTTCTCCCCAAAAGAAAACAAAGACCTCCAGGAAAGAGGACAAAGGGGAAATAGGCTGGCAAACAGTGCAGCCTCAGGTCGCGTTCAACATCAGACCAAAGCCTCTAGGAAACAGGGAAGTGGTCACAAGCATTCAAGTCATCTTCTACTTTGAAGAACGCCCCCAGTGTCACAGTCTCATCCTCTGTGAAAAGGAAGAAAAGCAGAGAGCAAGCGACCAAGTGAGAGCTCTAACACATGGCGGGGGAGGGAACCAAACAAAACAACGCAGTAGCCCTCTTTGCACGGTCACAGCAATAGGCCTGGTTCTTCTGTGGGAACGTGTGCCTTCCACTTGATGATGCTGCTGAAACCATGACTGAGGCAACCTCAGTCCCCCAGAAAAACCTGAGGGGCCTCTAGCTCCTGCTTCTGACAGAGGCCCACCCCTGATGCCCCACATAACCAGCTAATGGGAGAGTCACTGAGAAAGCAGAGAGCTAAAAAAAAAGAAAAAAAGCCTTGTTGCTTCCCATGCAGTCTGTACAGGAAGACACTTGCTAGACCTATTTCCTCCTTTGGGATAAAGTGTGACTCCACTGTATGTTAAAGCTGAGCCCATCAACAGTTACTTCCCCCCCCCCTTTGCTTATGTGCATTTATTTGTATTTAATTTTCTTGGTTTAAGACCACTCTCAGCAGTTACAGCTGCTTCTCCTTCTGGTGAAGAGCATCGCAGATGAAGCAAAAAGGAGAACATGGGCCACAGGGGAAGGAAGAAGAAAGGAGAAGAAATTATGAGTCTTCAGAGTCACAGTCACTTGACTTGCTGTTGAGAGGCAGCTACACAAGCATGGAGCGGCGTGTCCCGGCCCCTGGGAGCTGGTACAAGTCTCTGCTCCAGTTTGCTCCACTGTCTTTGCACATGAGCTCTCCCTTTGGAATAGATAGGAAGAAACACACAATACATGCAAGGAGGGGGAAAACCTGGTGTGTAGCACAAAGCTGCTCATTGTTCTGCCTTCCGAAAAAAATCCACATTAACGTTAAAGTAGAAGCCATGCACTAATTGGGCCAGGGAAAGATTAACACTCTCAGCCAAATACTTTTATTGGTTTCATTAAACATGTCGTAGTGCGTAGTACAGAACGTGGGGAGGGGCGGGGAGAGAAAAAGGGGAAACAAATGATAGTTTTAGGAATGTGCACCCCCCCACGCATGCATTTCAAACCACTTTTTCCCGTGAGGCCCAAACAGGAATCCTGAGCCTTCTTCATCATTTTCATCTTAGCAACGCTATTAGCTTATTCCCACTGTTTTTTTTCTAAGTGGTAGGAAAAACCCCAAGGATCATTTAAATGAAGGCCAGACCTTCTAGTATACAAATTTAGATGAGAACAGAACTTCAAAGAGGGATATCGCGTTTGAATAAACAAAGTTTACCATTTATCCTTGAGATTATAATACCTAAGAATTGCTACACCGTGCTCCAAACTGTTTCTGATGTACTGATCTCCTACTAAGCTTCTACACAGAGGAGCAGATTTTATGCCCAGAACTTCCAGAGCACATGGTGACACTCCCAAGCACAAATGGTCTCTCCCACCCCAAGAGATGCACACCATCCCTGCACTACATTTTGAACGCGATTTTTGCATCAAAGCTGTCAGGAAGGAAAGAGGGTGAATAGGCATCGTGTGGGAAGAAAAAAGGGTTACACTATTCAAAGCACTGCCTCACGGCAAAGGAAAACCAAATGAAAAAAGTTTTCCCGACTGACCTTTTTAATACCAACTCTGCCCTTGCTACTGAAGTGTTGGTGCTGACTCGGCACCCCAGCGGTAGAGAATTATACTGGCAGCGTCACCTCACTGTCACCACTGCTGGAGCACCAGTACAGAGCAGCCTATGGGGAAAGGAAGACAAGCATGTAAAGAAAGACAGTGGCATGGGAGTATCTGGTGGTCGTTCTTTCACCTAGCATCCAGTAAAAACTAAGAAAGTTACCCCAACGGTTTTGAACTTGTACCTGTAACTAACATTTTCCTCTAGGGAAAAACAAAACCAACCAAACCAAACCCTCAAAGACAACCAAAAGGAGCAACACTTCTTAAAGGGCACTCTCTGAG